CGCAACACGTCACTGGAGGTAAGGAGTAATTGGGAATTTTCTGTTAGACTTACTATAAAATGAATAGGAGTGTCGGGTGAATCCGGGGTATGTGTGACGTCATTATCATCCGTGATGCAAAGGAAAGGCGTTGGGGAATCAATCAGGTGTAAAGTTTTATGCGTCAGTTCTAGAAATGAAGATGCCTCAGAGCTGTCTGTGTTATAACCATCCTCGCTTTAAAAGAAGATATGGAAAATGTATATAGAATTAAATTAATGATACACCAGTAATACGTAATAATCCTTATTCAGCGCCAAGGGTTCTTTCCCGATCGACTCGTCCACCAAAACGAGGACCGGTAGACGAGAACCAGAGAACCCTGGGAATAAGATTGAAGAATTAAAACAACTTATTCGCCATTTGTACATCTCCCATAATACACCTCGTTTGCTTCCCAAAATTCTGCATACGCATTGTCCTCAATTTCTCATGGAAAGGCTGTAAGATCCAGGAGAAATTGGATACCAAGGCTTTGCAAAATTTGGTGGGGGTGAGGGGGGGTGGGGAGGGGGCAAACGAGCTGTATGTGCAAATGACGAATACACGGCTGTTTCTGCATTTGCATAAAGCGTTCGTTCGCGACCTGACTCCGAGTGATCCCTTATTTACCTCAGAGAAAGAGTGAGCAAAATACGCGCAACCATTGACTGTGTTGTAAGAAATTTTCTAAAACTAATTCAGTGCACATTCCTGCACTTGTTGTTCACCGGTCTTTGGCCTTGTTATCCGATTTGCGTTTAAAATAAAGCCTCTGGGAAGAGGGGGAAGGAAATGGTTGCAGAAAATTAGTGTAGGTTGGACTTTCGTTGCCTGTGTAAAGACGCCCCCTCCCCTAAAAAAAACCGTTTTTTTTTTCAGGGGAGGGGGCATCTGTATACGTGCTAGGACTTTTAGTAAAAAAGAAGATAATACACTACTCGTTCTTCGTCTGTAGTCTAGTGCAAAAAAATAATAATGATAACTGAAAAACCTGTTCCCAGGGCCGCTCTTTTATTACTCTTGTTTTCTCCAGAAGTAAATGCTTAAAGGCGACAAAACTCCAGAGCACCCGCGTTAGCCTGCACAACGGACGCAACTGGTAAAAAGGCGGGTTTTGGAGCGCTCACGCATCAAAACCCGCCTAAGCACCCTGCAAAAACGCCGGTTGTACAGGCTGCCGGCCTGGGTGAAGAGACACCCCGGGCAAGTTAAAAATAGTATTGTACCGTGGCAACCACCCACCCCACCCTTGCCGGGAAAGCCTAAATTACTTTGCACTCCAGGGTTAACACTGGGGTGTGAAAATGTTGCAAGTAATAAAAACACCACTTTGAAAGATGAAAACAGATTTGGCGATTCGATTCGATTTTGCCAGAAGTTTAAATAAAAGCAAACAGATAAAATGACTTTATAGCAATGATCATGAATTCTGCTGTGTGGAAGGAAGACCACCCCAAAACGGTTTTCGAAACTGAGACAATAAACAGCTCATGTCTCACACTCCTTGATACCGATATGCTCCTACTGTGTATCAATTTCAACTTGTAAGAAAAGATAACAGCGTCGACATCCGTTCATCCGCTGTTCGTAGAAGTGTTTCAACACTGTAATCACTATTAGCATTGTTCAGTGTATCTGGATCATTTACACTTACTAACAAAGCGATTGACCTTTTCGAAATGATCAATAACTGAAGATTTCTAAGGAATAAACTTACCCAAGAGATGACATATTTTCCAACAAATTATACGTGTATATTCAGCTTACGGTCCTTACGCAGCGAAAAGCGAGCCACGTGTGGTCATTTTACGCAAGGTCGAGAGACCCTGCGAGAGACACGGTCCGTGTAGTAAAATAATGCATCCAATCTCGATGAATTCCTGTCTTCGCAAATGAATAATTCCGATTCAAAATGCGTTACAAACTATAGAGACTATAGATGATCAGGAAAGAACTTAACATCGTCTAGGATCTTCTAAAAGACAAAATCGACTATGAAAGTGGTGTTTTGTATTGCGATCAAGTAAGTCTTTCAAACATGTAATCAGTTAATGAAGACCAACTGCTGTGCCCAACAAAAGGTTCTTGTTTTTGTTCTTTTGTTACTCACTACCGCTGTTACTTATTTATTATGTTAATCCTTTTGGTCGAGAATCCAAGGTTTAATTCGTTTGATTGGCAATGCAAGGCTAAGGGAAACAGTGGGTAACTTAAGATTAGGTGTCCCTGTTTTTCTTGTTGCTTTTAATAGTCTGGGACCAGGAAAAAGGTAAGAAAGGAAGTGAAACAGCGGAAAAAGAATCGGCCGGCGAAGAGAGTCGAGCGGCGGACTGGAGAGGGGATTTTTTCGCCTTTTCCCGCCACTACGGAGCCTGGTCCCAGGCTAGTATTGCTTTTGTAAGGGAGCTACCGCTACCCTTTGTGCAAAAGTAGGCAAGTGGGGTGGGGAGCGCGTGATCCCATAGTAGCGCGACCCCCTTCCTCTTCCCTTTCGAAAGCCTGTCTCGCATGCTAGAGGCAGGTTAGCCAGCGTGTCGCGCGTTCGTAACCGGATTTAAAAAGATCTAAAAAGAGATCCAAGAGCGCCTGATTTCCACTTAAAACACCTGCCATGCAGGGGAGGTGTACCTAGAATGACTGATGTACATGTTAGGCCGATGTTAGGTCGAGAAAGTGAAGGTTACTAGACTAAACCGTACACTAGCGATTCAGAGTATTGTGTGTGACAGGCAATTTTCAACATTTCCGCTGTTGCCAATGATCCATGAAAAAAGAAGTGGCGATAACTTACTGGTTTTTACATCTGACATGAAAAAATTGCTAACTTGCGCTTAAGTTTGAGATCTAAATTCGCGATTTTTTTCCAGCAAAATGCAAAAAAAGTTGGTCATCTTTCCGCGAAATGAAACTGACCCGCGAAAGATTCTTCCAAGTCAACAAAAGCGAAATCAAAGGTCATGCCCAAGTAATGTCAGTGTGATTGCCTCGCAGAAATTCTTAGGGAAGAGAACGCGTGACGAAGCAAGCGAAGCCCCAGATCGTGGTCGGAGACAACGTGGCTTTTTATTTATATTAAGGATCGCGTTCAGTCTCTGTTGAATCACTGAGTATGGCGTCTGCTGCTGTCAGAAGTGGGCACTTGATGGCAGATTTCAATTACTTCTTACTCCAAATAGCCAATGAAATAAAAAGCGACGAATTGGCGGAGATGAAATTTCTATGCGATTTACCGAGAGGAAAACTTGAGCAAATCACAAACCCTACGGAGCTCTTAAACATCCTTAGTAAAAGCGATAAAATCAGACCGGGAGAAGTGATGTATTTGGTAACTCTACTGGAAAGAGCAGGTCTCGTTAAGCTTGCTGGGGAAGTCATGGAGCAAGGTAAGACGAGTAAATTATTATTTACTTTGAAACGACTTTCGTTGCTCGAGGTGATGTGGTCATGGAATGACTTGAATGTGGAGTTCCTTTATCTTATTTTATGTTGTAATGCTCGTTCTATTGTAACCCTCGCCTGTTTTTTTCAGTTAGAATACTTGATCACTGCATGCTCAATTCAAAAACTTATCCCTCAGTCTCCAACTCTGTGAGCGCCATAACCAATAAACGCACCGAAGCGGAAATGAAAGCGAAACTGTGTACGCTCATCCATGCATAGTAAACATTCTCGCGGTGTCGCGAGCACTCTGAGGTACTTCTTTCGAGTAGGGAACTCACTGTCGAGGACTACAAACAGGCCTTTGGGACTGCGGAAGTAGTCGTTTTTCAATCCCTAAGTTAATAATTTTTCGAGTAAAGGACCGTGGGACTACAGATTAAGTCGCTTCGCTCATTCACTTATAATACAAACTCCGATAATTCTTCTTCGACAAAAGGACTGTCGATGGCTCATCCGGGCTTAATACTAACTCAGTAACACCTGTGTTCTCCCAACACAAGTATCTCAAGCATGACATATATCTATCAAGAACTGTTTCTTTTTAATTTTCTCTTATTCGTGTGAATTGTACGCATAATTTATGACAAGTCGAAGGCGAATGGCAAATTCCTTTTAGGCCTAGTTCAGACGCCGTACTCTTCATGTGCCGAACCTAACTGAATAAGTTCGACTTTGGAGCGACACTGGCGCGACATCTGATTCAGACGGCGTACCGTGTGTCGAACCTAAGTTAAGTTCGACAAAAGTTCGACAGACTCTGTCGAACTAAACGCTTTTGCCGCACCAAACTAAAACTGCCGTACCAAATTGATTCAGACGCCGCTCTTTTGCCGTACTTAATTCATCAGTTAGGTTCGGCACATGAGTGGAGCGGCGTCTGAAACAGGCCTTAGAACACCAGTGACCTACACTGGGAGAACAAAAAGGTCTATTAAAGGTTCATAGAGCTTCTTTTTCTAACGCCTGTTTGACGTTTTCAATGCAACTGTTCATTTCTTAGCCCTGAATGTTTTCTTGTAAATCATCTGGGTCGTGCCGGTAATTTTATATGTCTGTTATTGACGTTTTCCGGGAAGAGTATCTACCAGTAGTTTCTCGTCTTATTTCCGGACAATCTTTGGATTTGTTTTGCAACACGCGTGTTGATCACAGAACAAGAAACCTGAAAGTCTGAAACAACATATTGCACCAGTTGTAGTTTATAAATTCGTTATGAGAGACTCTTTATAGTTAACTGAGGTTTTTAAAACGGTCAATGTATTTTGCTTGTCGATCGTACAAAGAGTTTTGTTCACCTAATTGCTGGTTTTTCATGGACAACGTCTCTTTCGTTTCACAATTACAGAGAAGCTAAGGGACCTTTTCCGGCGTGAAGTTCGTTTGGTGTGGGTCTGAATATTATCAGTTTTGATACCTGATTTGATACGGTCTTTACCCCGAGGGGTCTTAACCTGGAGGAAAATCGCCTCGGCTAACCACGTTAAGCACCTAGGCTGCGTTTAAAGAAAGTAAACGCATCCCTGTACACGAGCAGTGGAGTAGGGACCAGTTACTCCGGATTTTTATGGATTTAATGAACTTTTTTAGTGGCATAAATTAACGCCAATGACGTCAAGCATATCATTAAGATAGGATAACCCCGGTGTGCAGTTTGCATTCCGAGTCCGCATTCTCGTGGTTAGACTGCAGTCTTCCGTCTACATTCTGCAAATGTAACACTCAAATACAGTTTTTCTTTTTTCCCTAGGACAGTCGACTTCACTAGGATCTTATAGCTCCGACACAACACTTCCTCATAAAGAATCACATTTTACAGGCAGAGAAGCAGAGGTGCAAGAAATTGTTCAAAAACTTACCCAGGACCCGAATCCTTCACGCATCATCATTATTGTTGGCATCCCTGGGATGGGTAAGACGGAAGTTGCCATTCACGTCAGTCACTTACTTCAAGAGAAACACGAAAAGTCTGTTATATTCATTGAACAAAAACAAAAGCTCTCAGAAGTCTGCAGCGAAATCCTCCGTAAAATTAATCCTCTGGCTCCGAGACTTTCAGAGAGTCATGATATGGTATCGATAGCGAAAAGGCGACTTAAAGAGCTTGATGAGAAGAAAGTTATTGTATTAGACAATGTAGAAGGTATACAACAACAACAACAACAACAACAGCAACAACAACAACAACAAGGAGAGCAATTCGACGACTTTTTAGAATATGTAGGAAGACACGCACCTCGTGTTCAGCTGATCATCACCACTCGAATGGATGTGGATTTTCATTCTCTGAGCGTACATAAGGTGCTTCTAGACCGTCTGGACCCCGGTTCTTCTGCCAAATTACTTCAGGACTCAGTTCCAGACCAAAATGAACTGCACATTAAGGAACTCGGCGAGCTTTGTGGGATACCGCTGGTTCTTATCCAATTCGTATGCTTAATGAGAAACGGCTTCAGAGCGGAAACGTTGGTCAGACGTCTCAAAATAAGTCCCATCCAACTTCTGAAGATCAATGCAAAAAAAGCTTACAATGATTTGTGTACATTCCTACTCTATCTTCCAAAAACCATAAAAGCAGACCTTGTTCGCCTTTCAATTTTTCCATTGGCGTTTTCCGTCGAAGACATGACGGTTCTCTTTGGTGACCTATCAGAACCAGAGGATGTTAAGGCCAAGATGGTCGGGTACTCTCTTCTTCGAAGGATAAACGATACAACGGTGATTTTGCATCCTTTGGTCCGCGAGTTCCTCAAAGCTGAGAGGAAACTTCTCAGCATGGATGATGTTGGTAAAGAAGCACAGAAAAAGTTTAATCAACATTATGTGGCACTGCTCCAATCCTTAAGTAAACAATTCATCACCAAGCAGAAGTCGAAAGAAGCTATTTCAACCTTTCGGGCAGAAAAAGCAAACATCCTGGAAATGTTCAAAAATTTCCTGCACTCCGAAATTGACCAGGAAGACACCGAGTTTTGCATAGATGTCGCTAACTCCACCATGGTTTTAGATTTCTTGGCCAAAGTTTTATCTCCACCCTTTAAGTGTGTAAAACTGTATGAAGACTGCTACCACATTGCCAAAGCATCTAATGACATGAGAAGACTTGCGGATTGTCTAACTTCCTTGGGATTTCTTGGCCTCTATAAAGAAGCTCACCGAGGGGTCAGCCAAGATACTTTTGAGAAGTTTCAGCGGGCCTATGAAATCCGGCAGAATTTGCCAAAGGAACAACAGCACTGTGAGACGCATGCACACGCCATCTCCAAACTTGGGCTGTGTTACGCACTTCTGGTAAAAATACGAATATAATTAAGTTCTCTTTTTTAAGTGCCGTAAATGTTTAAAATAATATTACTTCCATTACATGACGTACAAGAGAAAAAAATATTTTGATGCCAATGGGACAATACAAAAGGGGCCTTGAGGGGGTTTCTTCGAAGTACCCGCACCTTTTCGGATACTTTGTAGTTTTAAAGGAGCTGTGTCACGAAATTCAGCCAAATTAGGTAATTACAAAATGCCCGTTAAATTAAGAGAAACGTGAAAATAACCGCTTAAAACATTAAAGGAAGGTTAAAATAACACAAGAGATACAACAGATGCCACGGATGGTAAAAACTGAGGAAGATTGAAACGGATTGAAATGAGGATTTTTGAGGACTGTTCAGCCTAACAGTTTTTCAAAGTTGATCTCTACTGTCTGCAACTTCAAAAATAATGCTCTGGAGACATATTTGTTTGTCTCGAATCTCTGATTTTGTCATTTCCATGTAATTTCCTTGCTTGCTTTAAGTTCCATAGCGATTGAGGGCGAGTAATTGGCAAAATTAAACAAAATGAACTGGACTGCTGTGACACAGCCCCTTTAAATCAAAATTAAATCTCGATGCTGCCACTTTGTAACAGTTCATCATAAGACATCCGAAGAGAAAAACAGGCCATGATAAGCATGTCGCAGCATATTAAAAGTAAATGCCCGATTGAAATACTGGCCTCGGGGCATTCCACGGGTAGGCTTTATTTATTTATTATTTATTCCAAAAAGTAATAACAATAAATTGTGTGCAGGATCGCTGACTATATTTCGCAACAGATTAAGGATTTTTTAAATATTAATTAATACGACTGCAAATAGTTTTAATTATGATATGCAAATGATGTTTTTATTCTACTTTTTAGGTTTTAGATTTTTCTGTCTGTATATAATGTTTTAGATTCTAGATTTTAACTTTTCATCATTTCTTATGGGGAATCCTTTATATAGGGTTGACCTCTAGATATCCCCTTTCGAGATTTGTAACTTTAGTTTTTATTTCTTGAATAAAGTATTGTATTGTATTGTATTGAATAGCTTTCTAAGCCAAAAAAAATAGTCCTTGGATCCAATATATTTGTATGTTAAAATGTTCTTTTTCTTGTTATAGGGCAAAGGAGAACAAGGACGCGACCTAATACAAAAGGGTATTAATCTGAGGAAGGAGCTTGAAGTGCCTCTGTATGTAGCAGCAGGTTGTTGTGATCTTGGAAGTGAGTACCTAATTCATTCACTTTCTCTGTGAAAACTTAACTTTCCAATTTAATTTGTATTAATAAAACCATCATGTCATTACGATCGCACTTTTTTTTCTGGCTCGAGCCAATGATTTAGGGTTAGTTCAAATAATCAATAACGGTCATGTTACTGTGTGCTGCAAAAATGTGATTAATCTGTATCCACTTATCCAGCTTTTGTTTCTATAAATGGAAGTTGTCGAGGTGCGGACGACTTGTAAAATACATAGACACTGGGCGAGTTAGGCAATTCAGTGAACCTCTCGTTTTTCGGTGCGCTCATAAATGCCTAAAGTAGGAACATTTTTATGTAAGTATAGTTTGGAGCTGACCAAACTATAAGTCTTTCGAACGCACTTGTGTTAAACACCAATTAAAATACATTTCGACGCCTTAAACGAGCTTTTTTTAAAACTTGTTTTAGACGCCTATAGAGCGTGCAGGGACCATGAACAAGCAATAGACATCTGGAAAACAGAAACTTTACCAGTCTATAAAGATGAGCTTGGTGACCACCCTTGGACAGCCTCGATCCTGCGATACATAGCCAGTTCGTACAGGTGTCTTGCGGAATCTGAATCTGCAGATTCTGGAATAGCTGATCAAGCTGAAATGTACAGCACAGAAGCTCTAGAATTGCGAATCAAGCTGCTAGGGGAACATCAGGATACCGCTCGATCCCATGTTGACCTTAGCGACATCTTCTACATTAAAAAAGATTTCAAGTCAGCTATGGAGCAGCTTGAAAAGGCCATTAAGATCCAGAAAGACGTTTTAGGCGAAGAACATGAGACCACGAAGAAAACAGTAGAGCAATTGAAGAAAGTACAGTCCATGGTAGAATGAAAGATATAGAGGATATTACATGGCCGCGCGGAGATACGAAATTTCTCTTCGAGTGTTGAAAAATATTTCACGAGTGACCGCAGCGAACGAGAGAAATATTTTTTCAACACGAGAAGAGAAATTTCGTATCTCGGCGCGGCTATATAATGTTCTATTTATTATATAAACACCAATGAACTACCAAACCATTTCACTTTAATAGTTTTTTGGTGTGAAAAACGCGATTTATTAATAAGCCATAGCAACGGTGATATTTTCACATGTGAAGATAACATGTTATTTTCACATGTGAAGATATCAAGTTTTCGCGCGAAAGCTCACCTTTTATTTCATTGGTGTTTATATAATAAAGGGTCTTATCATCTGAGATGATGAGGTGATTTGACAAGTTTCACAAGCTGACATGGAAGCTTTGACCAAAGGAAAGCAAGGATTTGCGAGTTGTCTCAGTTTAGGTCCCTTTTACATGGAGAAAAGTTATCCTTGGCAGAGGGGACACTCCCCTACTCAAGCAAC